ATCCTTAATTATTATGTGTGTCAATTTCAATAAGTTTAAAATTTTGTTTGTTTAATAAATTAAATAATTAATTATTTAATTGGACTGAGTAATTATCTATGAGTTCCAGGCTCGATATTTGAGGGTCAATAACACCAAGCTATCCTTAATTATTATGTGTGTCAATTTCAATAAGTTTAAAATTTTGTTAGTTTAATAAATTAAATAATTAATTATTTAATTGGACAAAGTAATTATCTATGAGTCCAGGCTCGATATTTGAGGGCAAGTAGCACCAAGCTATCCTTAATTATTATGTTTGTCAATTTAAATAAGTTTAAAATTTTGTTAGTTTAATAAATTAAATAATTAATTATTTAATTGGACTGAGTAATTATCTATGGGTTCCAGGCTCGATATTTGAGGCCCAATAGCAGCAAGTTATCCTTATTTATTATGTGTGTCAATTTTAATAAGTTTAATAAATTAAATAATTAATTATTTAATTGGACTGAGTAATTATCTATGGGTTTCAGACTCGATATTTGAGGCCCAGTAGCACCAAGCTATCCTTAATTATTATGTGTGTCAATTTCAATAAGTTTAAAATTTTGTTAGTTTAATAAATTAAATAATTAGTTATTTAATTGGACATAGTAATTATCTATGAGTTCCAGGCTCGATATTTGAGGCCCAGTAGCACCAAGCTATCCTTAATTATTATGTGTGTCAATTTCAATAAGTTTAAAATTTTGTTAGTTTAATAAATTAAATAATTAATTATTTAATTGGACTGAGTAATTATCTATGGGTTTCAGACTCTATATTTGAGGCCCAGTAGCACCAAGCTATCCTTAATTATTATGTGTGTCAATTTCAATAAGTTTAAAATTTTGTTAGTTTAATAAATTATTTAATTGGACCGAGTAATTATCTATGAGTTCCACGCTCGATATTTGAGGCCCAGTAGCACCAAGCTATCCTTAATTATTATGTGTGTCAATTTCAATAAGTTTAAAATTTTGTTAGTTTAATAAATTAAACAATTAATTATTTAATTGGACTGAGTAATTATATATAGGTTCCAGGCTCGATATTTGAGGCCCAGTAGCACCAAGCTATCCTTAATTATTATGTGTGTCAATTTCAATAAGTTTAAAATTTTGTTAGTTTAATAAATTAAACAATTAATTATTTAATTGGACTGAGTAATTATATATAGGTTCCAGGCTCGATATTTGAGTTAATTTGACAATATATATATATATATTAATTTTATTAGTTTTGTAAGTTTATTTATAAATTAAATAATTAATTTTGTAAAGTGTAATTGTATAGAGTTTGTAGTTAGTACATACTTAAACTACAGAGACTCTACGCTAAAAGGCTCTATATTTTACTACACTAAAAGGCTCTATATTTTACTACGCTATAATGCTCTATATTTTACTACGCTAAAATGCCACTATTCTTTAAGCAAATAAATAATCTAAACTAAATAAAAACAACAAACATATGAACATAACATTCATGAAATTACATATAAAACAATAAAAGATATTTGTGAACAATTTCATTAACAATAAAAATTATTTATCAAGTTTTAACTATTTTTTGTCGCAAGGCTAATAATTCAATTCGGGTAAAAATAACATACAAATTTAATCGCAAACATAACACAAATCAACGTGGAAACACATTCAACAAAACAAATATGCATATGCTCTACGAGTTTCGACATAAACTAAATCGAAATACCTTGATTTAAGTTTTTTGAAATATCGAAAATTCGAAATTTTGACCCCGAAAGAAGGAAGAAGATCTATTGTGAGGAAGAAGGAGGGGTTATATTTTATTAAAGCCTTAAACGTAGTATTATACTGCGTTTCCCTTAAATTTTTTTTTTTAAATAAAACGCAGTATAATACTGCATTTTACTTTAACGACTAACTTTCCGTTAAAGTAAAACGCAGTATTATACTGCATTTTATGTAAAAATATAACTTTTTTTAACTGTATAAACGTATTTTAAGTACAAAAATACGTCATTTCAGTTTCGGACTTATTATTATAAATGCCAAGTATGTGATTCTATAATGTCCATGCATGAATAAGACCGCTGCCATCAACCGACACACCCCAAGTCTCTAACAAATCCGCACACAGGCCCAAGGTACAATGGGTGATCACTTGACTCAGGAAGGATGGATCCAAATTCATGCGTTGTACGGAAAATTTAGTTTTCATAACGATATCACTCGCACAGGCAACTTACGCGGCATAACACTCATCTCGCGAGAACAACTCACCTGCCTCAACCTCAGTCCATATAAGAGCATCCATATGCAGATTGACTGCATATGCATCATAAATAATATAAATGATGGATATGGACAAGAAAAATATACATGCAAATATGTAGGTATGTAAAGAGTGTGACTACGCCTAGAACAAGTAGGATATAATGTCGAAAATAGTTATTTACGGTCAACAAAGTACCAAAAGCCTAAACATAGAATCTAACATAACTAAGAGAGATCATGTAGTCACACAAGAGTAACAACAAGCCATTAGTAACAAATAATGTAAATCCACAGTTGTCACATCTCCTTTTTCTACCTACACCCCCGTAAGGGTATAAATAAAGGGAGTTTTTTCAATTAAAGGACAATCGAAACGAGATTTATTGTTAAAAAATTCAGAGTCGCCACTTGGGAGATTTATGGTGTCCCAAGTCACCGGTTGAATCCCGAATCGAGGAAAACTTGACTCTGTATTATAGTCCGCGAACACAGAAATCCGGGTAAGGAATTCTGTTAACCCGAGAGAAGGTGTTAGGCACTCCCGAGTTCCGTGGTTCTAGCACGGTCGCTTTGATTATACTTGGCTTGACTAAATTGTTTAATTACTCATTTTAGAACCTATGTGCATTTACCTTTTACTGCTTTCAAATTAAGAATATTATCTTGAAACGGGTCACGCGTACGTGTACCCGTTTGTTTGGCGCGTGAAAAATCATGTCACGCGAACGTGTCCATAATTAATAACGCTTTATTATTATTAAGAAAAAAAAATTTGGCCAAAGTTGCGCGAACGCATACTCCGATTTTGTTTTCTTTGGAATCGTAATTAAGTCACGCGAACGTGTACGCAATCACGATGGTATTTTAGACGTGCATAAAACAAACTACACATATTCATTTTTTAATATCTAAGTTATAATATTAATGTGAGGGCCATAGATCATGGGATCTATTTGTGAATGGCACGCCTCTATTTATTTTAAAAGATCTTATTCAACTAAAGCGAACTAGATTCCAGCAGAAATCCCATGACCCATTCATCAATTAAATCATAAAATCCAGCAAATCACTAATTTAGTACTACCCATGTCGTTTCCATATAAAAATGTCACTTAGGAAACAAATTGGCATCATCTGAAAGATTAACCATTTTATTAACTAATTTCGATAAAGGCCGTAATCCATTGCGAATTCCCATATTCAATCAGAATTGTAACAACAAAGTAATGACAAAAACTCAAAAGTTAAAGCAATGTGATATTTACACGGGAATCATAAGGAATATGAACGTGATAATCACATAGGAATGCATATACGTTAGTTTTACAGTGCTTGCCCCAACGTTAAATTTCAATGATACTCCTAACAGTAGCGAAATTTCAATGATAACCCAGGATTAAGATGTAAAGCTGATACAGTAAAGAATGTAGTAGTGCAACTGCAGAATATCGAAAGACTTAAGTTCCATCTAGCATTTATGACATGCGTAGGAGCAGCATTTCAGGCATTACTTTAACTGGAAAAAGGCGACCAGATAATCTAAGGAGATTGACTCTTTAATACTTAATTTGGCAACATTGGTGCCCATATGAACCTACACAGACAACAACTCAATAACATATTTTAAAAAAAAAATTGCATTACTTCTGAAGTGGCTTGCAGTTATGCTCAAACATTCATCCTAACAGATCGAGGAAACAGAAACAACAGTAGCATTTAATCCAAGAGAGACGCATACATAGAAATGAAACAAGCAAACAAGAAAATCTGGTATAAAGCACTTGACGATGAATTCTTTTTACTGTATGTTTGAGCTCTTGTACTACATTTCTTTACATGAGGAACACTCGTAGATCTTGAACAGCTCCGAACTCATTCACTTAAGCACAGATCAAATGAATCCGAAATGAATTCTCGGAAATCACAGACCAAACAAACGAACACAAATCCATTTACAATTCACTTGCACAGGACAAACGTGGTTGCAACGATTTTAAGGATAGTCACGAGTACTGACGAACAGCACAAAAATAAGAAAACAAATCTTTAAGTTGGCTAAAAAAGTCTCAGTTTGCAACAGAATAACCAAATGCCTTGTAGGAAAATATAGAATTCAATTTCAAATCGTCATCGGCGAAGCAACACAGCCAATTCAAATGCCCACTGATTGATGGTTTCTTTTAAAAATCAAGCACAAGAGTTCATGTCATTCTGCTAAAACATCCATCCGACGCAACATTCATGGGAAACAAACCAAATTTGCTTTCGAGTAAAGGGCGAAACCTTTTTAAAACATGGAAACTTGTAACCAAATAGCTGGCATCAATGCACTTAGGAAGGAAGGAAAACATGGAACACGCAGCAAGTCCTTATATGAACGAACATTTAAACAACCCAGCGAAGGGTTATCGAAAAAAAAATAATAAAAAAAAAATGAAGTATTAAGTCGACATGAGGCACAAAACAGGAAGGACACTAGAAACCTTCGAATTCGCCACTGCCTCACCCTAGAGGTGGTCAGATTTCAACAACAAATACTTGCGGAGAACTAATCCAAGCAGATTAATGAAGCACCATAGTAAAAATTATTTCAAACTCGAACTTGACGGAACCACACCAGCATAGTTACGAGAAGCACAAATGAGCAGTCCAGCGAGATTCAAACATTTTTGTATCTCAACACTGAAATTAAAGCAAAGGAAAGAAACAGAGATGAACCTGAAAATTACACTTCGATTAATTCTGTTCGGAAGAAAAATACAAGTAACTGGCGTCGAAGTCGTCAATCCGAAAAAACCCAGTGAAAGTCGAACAGGAAACACGAAATTCAGCCACCAAGGAATGAACCTCGAACAGCGACAGAAGACTTCGAAATCCCCAGAAAAAAAAAAACTCAGACGTATTCCATGGTTTTTAAGAAAAAGTCAAAATCAAGGTAGAAAACGGACATTTCTTTTTATTTCTCGAAAAACAAAATTTCACCCAAAAAAAAACGAAAATCAGAAGAGATATAATCGTTCTTTTTAAATCTTTTTTCCAATCTCTCAAAATGGGGAATCCTCTCCAGTTCTCCGAAATTTCTCCCCAAAATCCCCTGAAGAACTCTGCCCTTTTCTTCGAAAAAAAATCCTCTACTAATCAGGCACCAACCTGATGAGTGAAGGGCTGGGATCAATTCAAATCGATCTCACGCTCCCCATTCACCCAGCATATGCCTTCTAGAGGCTTCCAACACGTGAGAAGAGAAATGAGGATAAGGGAATCTCTCAGAGACCGTTAGGGTTGGTGACGTGGTGAGATAAGGACGCGTGTGAGTGAACTCGCCTGAGTTTTCAGGTGAGTTAAGGTTGAATCGGCTGGTTCGAAGAAGAAGAACAGTGTTTGTGAGCACGTGATTTTTGCCCTATAAGAACTACTCCCACAAAAATTCAAAATAAAATAGTTGTGTATTGCTTGTGATTTATTGGTATTTGTTTATGCATGTTTATTCTATTTTTACTACTGAAAAATACAAAAATATATGTGTTGCATTTACATTTACAATTTAGGATTAATTAACCAGTGATTTATTTTACGAAAATAAAAATCATAAAAAATAATGTACTTTGCATTTTTAGCATTTAATGTTGAATTGTGTGATTTTATTGTTAATTGGCATTTAATTATATGTGATAATTGTTATTAGAAGATAATTAGTATTTTTAACTTGGTTTATAATTTTAGAAAAATAATTTAGGAAGAAAATAAAAAGAGAAGAAAACAAAAATGAAAATGGAAGAGAAATCGGACTGGGCCATGTTAATTTTGACCAAATCCAGCCCAAACTTTGTGTCTAACCCGGTCCAACTGATCATCCCACTCAAACGTCTCAAACGACGTCGTCTATGCCACTTTCAATCAGTGTCGTTGGATTGATTCAATCCAACGGTCAGGATCATCTCTTACCCAAATCCAACCCAACCCCGTCCCATAACCCGGTCCATTTTACCCGGGTCAACCCGGTCTCTTAATGAGACCAAACGACACCGTTTTATTTAAGTGAATTGATCCGGGCCCTCGATCTCTCTTGATCGAACGACCAAGATCAAACCCCCCACTATATAAGTTCAATCTCGTACCTAGCCCTCCCCAATCCAAACCCCTGTTCATTATCATCTCTCTCAGAGACGAAGCCTCCTTCACCAAACCCTAGCCGCCATGGCACTCCTTCGCCTGAAACCCGGCGGCAGCAACGCCGTCGGTCACCAAATTGACACCCCTTATGCATTTAACCACCCCCGATCCAAATCCATGAACCACTTGCCTCGAATCAACTTGGAACTTCTCGAATCTCCATTTGAAGATTCGAGCAGAACTCGAACCTACCCCAACCAAGCCCAAATTCATACCCTGGCACCCCCTGACCTCCCTCGTGCCCAAACCACCTTTGGTTTGGGTCGAATCTGGCTAGAAACACTCGAACCCCAAATCGAAACGTAAGAACCCTAGAAAACCAAAACTGGTTTCTATCCGAAATTGAAGGGAATTTGGGTGTTTAACTGACCTTAGTCGAAGTGTTCTAAGTTGAGAATACTCGATTAAGGTCCGTTTGACCTCAAAAAGTTCAAGTCCGAGTCAATTCAAGTCCGTCTGTTCTCTGTTCCATTTAAGGTATTTTTCTTTCTTTCCTTTTATTCTATTTTTGATGTTTTAAATGTCTGTTTATTTGTTTAGAGTTGTTATATTAATTTTTTCATTTTTGTCAATTGTTCTGTTCTTCTCACTCAGACCTTTTTATTTGGTCAAATTTACTTCTGTTCGTTGCTGAGTATATATTATAGGTTGTATAATCGATTCGAATAGTTTCGTCGATTAATTAAGTTTTTATTATAAATCCCTATTTTTGTCAATGCCCCGTAAATTGTCTGTTTATCTATTTCTTATTGTTTGTTGTCAATAGTTATATGCAATCGATTAATTAGTTATCGTCGATTAATTTAGTTTTATTTGTAGTTCGTTTATTCTCATGGTTTGATGTCGAATATGTTATATTTTGATCCTTAGGCCTTTAGAACTGTTAATAATCCTGCATTTTGCATAGGACTGATGTATTTTTGTATTAATTCAAATTTGGATACTGTTTTGTCCAATCTGAATGCAAGTTGGAATTTGATACTGAATTCAGTTTTACTATGTTAATTAGTTTCAGTTCATTGTGTTTTAGTAGGTTGGCTTCTGTTTTTGAATACTGATTGTAACAGTTTGTCTTAATGGTAGTAGTTAATTTGTTGGTCTTGTTTAGCTATTGATTTTTAGAGAACTGGTTCAGTTCACTGCACTGTAACTGATTGAATTAAGGCAATAAATTACAGGGGGTTTCAAGGGTAATTTGGGGTGTCAAAACTTGAAAAATGCTTTAATTGAGTGGTCTGTCCAGTAGGGTCTTGATGTGCCTTTTAAATTAAACTAATGCTTTAGTTTAATAATAATGGGATTAAGGGGGCCACTAGATAATGAGTAATACACTAATGGATTAGTCAAAAGAGAGACATTCTAAGTGGGATTGAATAGTTAATAGACAACTATTAGTGGAAGACTACTTTTTGTTTTAAAAGGACCAATTTAAGAATGATTAACTACCCACTAAGGCCTAAAAAAAATCCGAAAAACAAAGGGTGATTGAAAATTGGAGAGCGGAATAAAAAGGGAGAAGAAGGTCTTAAGCTTGGAGAGGAAAAACACACTAAGATAAAGAGACTAGAGAAAGAGAGGTTAGAAAAAGGAAAAAGAAAAAAAATAGCCATTCAGGCTGATTGGGAAAACAACAGAGATCAGTTTCCTTTCAGTTTCTTTTTGAGAGTTTAAGGATCAGTTTTCTTGAAAGCTTAAAAGCTGAATTCTTCCATACTTTGAAACTTTAAGAGTTTGAGAGTGAGTTTGGGAGAGGAATGATTTTGAGTGTTGTTACTGTTTAATTGAAACTCAGGTTGTTTTTCGGTTTGATTTTAAAGGGTTTGGGGTTCAATTAGCTACTGGTTTTGTTTGGTGTTGTTGTTGGTTTTTCTGGAGTTCATTCTGGTTTTTTTTTGGTTTTGCTGTGGGTCAATCCTTTGGTTTCTGCTGTTTTCTTGGGTCGTTTGAATCATTCCTGGGGTTGAGGAATAACTGTGATGTTACTCTTATTTGCTGTGGTATTTTGCGGCTAGTGAACTGTTGCTGGGTTACTGCTGTTACGTTTGCTGCAGCTGACCTCTTTTCCTTCTTCTTGTATTGTTCAAATCCAGGTATTTGTTTCTCTCCTGATGCACTGATACTGAATTTGAAGTGGAAATGCAAAGGAGAAATGTTCACCTTGCACTTATGGAACTCTACCTGTTTGGACTGTTATATGTTGATGCCTAAGTAATGTAGACGCAATGGTTTAGTGTAGTTTAGATTTGATTTGTATATGATTGTATAAAGTGGACTGAAGTTAGACGTGTATGTTTATGCTAATTAGCCTGCATATTGGTGCTAATTACCAATCTTGATGTAAGATGATTTATCCATGTAGTTTAAATGTTGAAAAAAATCAGAATAGTTTGAAACATGAGACAAAAATGTGAGATTTACATCTTTCACGTGTAGTGATAAGTAGAAATTGGTTGTCATTTAGGATATAGGCATTAATTTAAAGACATCCTTCTGACATTTGTTTGCTAATAACATTTTCAATATCATAGCTTCAAAATCATGGGTGTTTTGAATATTGATCTAGTAAGGCTAACTTGAATCAATTGGTTTATTCAGTCGCTTCGCATTCTTGGCAAAAAATCATGTTTCTAGTAGTGGCTTGAACAACCCCAAATGTAGTAGTGGTAGTAGAACTAATAATAAAATTAGGACTTTTTCCCTTTTTTTTAGAGACAAAATATATAGAAAATCGTAGTTATTTTAGGATGGACCTTTAAATAAAACATGAGACGAGCCTCGCCGGATAAAACGCATAAATTGCGGGGCCCTCGATAATTGGTTAAAAAATAAAACATTTAGAATTCGGGATGGGTCGTTTAGTGAATTTCACGGCCCTCCCCAAAGATAATAACGCGCTAGTCACTTTAGGCGCGCTTTTAATAATTTACTTTCTTAAACTTGGGTGCACATTTATGTGATCCAAATCCAAATCTCGATGGAGTCGAAATGNGACGGAGTCGAAATGTGTCGATAACCACGGGTGCATTGATGGGACGTGGTTCAAGATGTATTTTTACGACGTCACAATTCTTGTTAAAAATAATAATAATAAAAGCGGTAAAGAGTTTAAATTTACACATAGGTTCAACATGTATTAAAATCAGATAAATAAGCCGAATATGACAGTTGAGCGACCGTGCTAGAACCACGGAACTTGGGAATGCCTAACACCTTCTCCCGGGTTAACAGAATTCCTTACTCGGATTTCTGGTGCGCGGACTGTTAAACAGAGTCAATATTTTCCTCGATTCAGGATTCAACCGGTGACTTGGGACACCATAAATCTCCCAAGTGATGACTCTGATCCTTTAATAATAAATCCCGTTTCGATTGTCCTTTAATTGGAAAAACTCCTTTACGCCCCGAAAGGGCGCGGGTAAAAAGGAGGCGTGACAGCTCTGGCGACTCTGCTGGGGATGTGAACCTAGAATCTCTGGTTCAGGGTTCAGAATTCGAGCTTAGATGAATTGTTATATTTGGCTTTATTTATTATCTGATTTTATTACATGTTTTGTCCTAATGTGCTAAATGTTGCTTTTACCGCTTTGATATTATCTGAACTGTATATATAAACTGCTACGAAATCCCTCTCTTCTCTTTCTTGAGGAGTGTATGCTGGTCGTGACTTCTTTCTATTAGTTTCATATCCCAAAATAGAACGATGATTCGGAGGAGTTGCAAAACCGGATGATCTTTTGGTTACCGGTACGCAGTTCCCATCCTCGG